CTCGCAAAAAAAAATATCACGGTTTGAGTAACGCAGTAACGCAGCGTTCCTACGGGAAAGTATTAGAGCTGGCCTACTGGTACTATACAGCTAATATATATATTGTTTAGTATTAAGCTTTGCTTGTTCCATATTCAGTTTTTCAGCAAAACGTGTTTGAGTCCATAAGAAGAGATTCATTCTTAAATCTAGAGGAAGATTATTTTTTCAATAAATATTAATGTTAGCCCGCGGCCTTTACTTCCAGTTTTGAATTTTGGCCCACAGACCTCTTAGAGCAGGGTGAGTTTGACACCCCTGCTCTAAGAGGTCTGTGGGCCTCTTGTAATAGGGCAACATCTGCCTGTAGTTTTTTGAATTGGTTAAATATTTTTAACCTCTGTTCTCTTATATTCCATGTAACGAACCTCAGTGTGCCCATAGATGTTTGTGTATAACTAGGGGTGTACGCTGTGTGTGTCGCTTAGACAGGTGGAGAGAATACATCACTTGTTCATAAATAAAGAGAAGGAGAGAGAGAAAAAATGTGTGTGCATATTTACTAATATGAGTACGCTTGGCTTAAGTGTGTGTATCCTATATGACTGTGTGTGCTGTCTGACTGATGTAAATGTGCTACCGTTGAGCGCATGATTGTGCATGATCGTGTTGTGCGTATAATGTCGAAATAAAGGATGTTGTTTGTGGATGAGTCTGGAAGCAGGTGATCGAAGCAATGAAAGAAAATAAAAAAGAAAGAAACCAAGGACAAGGGTGAGCAGCATAAAAACAAGAGGGGGAAAAGAGAGAGAAAAAACAAGAAGAAAAAAAAACAAAACGTAAACATTCCAATTAAATCACTGACGGAGAGTGACGGTGTTAATTCTGCTATGAAATCACACTTAAGATGCAATTTGATACCGGTAAGTTAAACAGATGCTAATGCACGTTAGTGTGAGTGGATAGGGAAAGGGTGCAGCTGATTCTTATCTGGTGTGAGGTTAATACAGCCACGGAGTGATGTTGGGGTCGTGGTGGAGCTGTCCGTCCACGTACAGCCGGTCCACAGCGATGACAGCGCGGGAGCCCTTCTGGATGAAGCCGCATCGGATTGGGAAGAGGACCCTGCGTCGTTCCAAGATCTCTTTGGGGAACTGGTCGTTCACGCTTGAAGTCTGTTCCATTTAATTCCCTGCCGCAACTTTTCACCTGTTCCTTTTGTTTGAAGTGGCCGAATTTGGATACAATAGGACGTGGTCTCCCGAGGCGATGTACCCGATCGAAGACGATGTTCTTCACCGTGTCCTCCGGCACATTCAGGTGGGTTTTGATGAAGCTTTTTACCGTAGTCTCCGCGTCTTCTCCAGCGGCTTCTGGAATACCAGAAAATACAAGATTATCACGCATGCTACGAGCTTGTAGATCAATAACTGTTTCATTTATTTTTTGATTTTCTCTATTTAGCCGGGTAACATTGTCTGTGAGACATTTCGGTCGTTGTGTCCTTGGGCAAGACACTTCACCCGTTGCCTACTGGTGGTGGTCAGAGGGCCCGGTGGCGCCAGTGTCCGGCAGCCTCGCCTCTGTCAGTGCGCCCCAGGGTGGCTGTGGCTACAATGTAGCTGCCATCACCAGTGTGTGAATGTGTGTGTGAATGGGTGGATGACTGGATATGTAAAGCGCTTTGGGGTCCTTAGGGACTAGTAAAGCGCTATATAAATACAGGCCATTTACCATTTACCGATCTTAGCGTGGCATTTTCAGCAGCGAGCATTTCCACCTGCTCCTGGCTGAACTCTGGCTGAAGGGATTCTCGCAAGCATTTAAATTCCCGGTGAAGAATCTCCACCAAGGACAGCCTTGCATCAAAACTGGACAATCGTTGGTCGATTGACTCCAGTATGTCGGCAATATCTTTGCCGGCTGGCATCACGAGATCCTGGAAGCACTGATCAATGTAATCTTGGAGAGCCTCTAAACTCTCCCCGTTGTTCTCCAGGGTGTTGGAGATGATTTAGACAAATATTGTTAGTTATAAGACAATTGATAAGTGTATTTGGTAATACTGAAGCTTAAAGGAATTTGTTCATTTCTAAACTACCATTTGTTTTAATTTTCCACCAAAATCTCCAGCGTCTGACGTCAATTACACCATGAGTCGCTTACCTTGTCCGTCACTTACCTCCATGTCTGACGAACACTACTGCTCCGTCTTGACCAGTAACAACTCCCTTCCACTTGGGGCAGTCCACTCGCTTGTAATACACCTTGTCTGTGGCAAGAATGATGGACCCAACCACATTCTGGCACTTTCAACACTTGATTACAAATCCTCCCCAACATCAGACACTTTCAAAACCTGTTTGAAAACCCATTTTTATTCCTGGGCTTTTAAATCAGAATGAGTTTGTATTACTTTTATTTGTTCTGTTACGAGTTCAAATATTGAGGGTGAGCACAAAAACAACAATGGTCCAGGAGAGTTAAGTCAAACGATGATTTAATGAACACACACGTGGTGAGATGAACACTGCACACCGACAGCATCAATCGCCGCCCAATGATACATAAGCAGTTGTTTTTTATAACATCAGGGTATTATTTATGACGCCCCCTCATGCGTCAAAGCAGATACAACACATGCATAAGTTTCAAAACCACAGATGTTCTGTTGACGACTTTTGACACATTTAAAAGGACATCTTCTCCATCTCGAGGCCAGGTGCTTCCTATTAATCTTCTAACTCTCGCTTATCTCCTGGAGCAAACTGTCCCTTAGGCAGACATAATTTTGCAGTCCCAAGCTTTTGCAAACTATTATTTGAACTCTTACCTAAACATGAGTCTAACTACTGTTTGCGTGTGTGTGTATGTCTCGACCTCAAAATGCACTCGGCCTCACCCCGCCCGTTGACGCTCCTGACCTTTTACCAGACAGAAGCTCTCTGTCTCCTCTATTATCAGAAAACAAGGTCCTGACTCTCTGAAAACAGTATTTCTTATAACTCAGCAGTATAATGCATCATAAACAATATCATTCATTCACAATAAATCAGCAGTCTAATGTAATACAAATCAGATTAACAAATGTAATTCTCCTGAATTAGAAGAAGGTGATAAACCTTCTTCTAATTCAGGACAATAATGCAAACTAAAACTACATAATAATTTCACAATCATTAATCAGGGGTATAACATGGCATTAGATAATATCACAATCTTGTGATATTATCTAATGCCATCTAATTCCTGTCAGCTGGTCAACCTCACTCAGGCGGACATCCATATCAGCCAACCAAACGACAAGTTCCTCCCTTTGTGCTTCAAATCCCTTCCCTTTCACAAGGAGCTGAGAGAGAGAGAAAAAGGGTCAATTATAAAAAAAAGAGAAAAGTGAAACCCTCCTCAGGAGGTCTGACTCGCATACTTGCAGTCGACCTGTGATGGACTCCAGTTTAGCATTCACGTCATCCCAGCGGCATCCGCACTCCCTCGTCGATGCCAGCAGCCGAGTCTGCAGGGTGCCCTGGAAGAGCCGAGTTAATGTTCGACTCCTCCTGGTCAGGCTCTCCAGCTGGATGAGCCGAGGTCTCCCCTCTCGCCGCCGCCTCTGAACACA